ACAGGCAGCTTTTAGCTCCTGAAATACTGAAACAGATACTGGGTGGCAGCTTAGAAGCTTGAAGGGCTTGGTCTGCTTTATTGCCCTTAGATAAGGGCCATAGAAGGGATTAAACTTAAGCCAACTTCCATTTTCTGATGTGCTGCTGTTACTACTAAAGTCTTAATGGAGAGTTAAGACAGTGCTTCTGCTACTCTTCACTTCATAGTATGTACAAACTCTACCTCCTGGGTTCTCCTGAGGTTCATTTAGATTGCAGTATGATGACCCTCCATCTCCATCCCGCTCTACTCAACAAGTTCTTTTTCTGTTCTTTAACAAGCTTTCTCACTCAAGTAGTTTCCCTCTTGGAAGTGAAGCACACCACTAAGAGTGTGTTGAACCAGTGTGTGTGGTGGCAAGAGACAGTTCTTCAGCAGTGAGGTTGAAGAGGATTCTGGGCATTGTTTAAAACCATGAGGAGTGCCCTGCTGTACAGCATGTAACTAGATGCTTCCTCAGACAGACAAATCCTGCTTAGTGAGAGACTTGGGCACTATGTGATACTTCAGCTGTAGGTTGCAAGTGCTGTAGTTTTACCCCAACAGGTTCTCTTTAGTGCATCAGCCTTTGTTTAGGCCAAATGGTTTATGTTACAACCACAATATTTGCTAGAATTGTCAGACATTGGCTTCTCCTTTGGTAGGGTTTACTGTATCTCATATCCTATGTTGGGAAGGTTTTTAGTCTTTCCACTGAATTTGTTGTACATCACCTGTTTCCACATTTCCTTACACAGGTACATTGAACTGCAGTGTTGCTTGGATTTCTAGTTTGAGAAGCAACAAGTACTTAGTTTCTCCTCTGTCTGTTGGAGAGGCAGTCATCATTTTTGTGGCCAAGTGTGAGTCCTTTTCAGCTGTGGCCTTTGCAGAAGTTCTGTGGCTTGGCCCCCAGCAGATGGTTATCAGACTTGTGCTTCTCCACACTTGTAAACTTCCCCATTACGTTTTGGTTTGGAGTAAGGCATATTCCTCATCTTCTACATTAAACCAAGCCCCCAATGCCAAGCAGTGCTTCATGCTCTTGGGAGAACCTCTTGTCGGTGGCACTCAGTGTGGTGGTGACCACTGTCCACACCCTCAGTGCTGTACACACTGTGCATGTGTGTCACTACTGGTACTGGCAGTGGCTGGAGCTGAGTGAGCAGTGTTTGCAACCAGGAGCCAAAGCAGTTTAATTGTAGTAGTAGAATGTGGGAAAGAAAAAAATGGTATGGGACATCATCACAGTTTTGCAGTGTCTTAGGCAGTTATTTGGAGTCTCAGTTAAATGCCTTTTTTTTCCATAAGAATATACAAACCTGATCAGACTAAATGTCTGTTTATTGTATTATTTCTTACCCAACAGCAAATGCTTGGGGAAGGATGTAAATCTAGGACAACTGTGTCATCCTCCAGAATATTCCCCTATCCTTCCACATTTTACACTTCTGGATTTCCTGCTCTGATGGTGGCATGATCTGACAGTAGCATAATAAGGCAACAGCCACAATCAACTGACAGGCTGGAACTTAACCACCTAAACTACAGTCTCTGTCTCTTTGAATCTGCATAACTACTTTCTCCATAATGCAGTGTAAGCGTCTCTGGATTTTGTATGCAATGAGTTGTCATTACTGCACTAATCCTCCTTACTGAAATGTAATCTCAGACTTGCATTTTGGCTTGAATGGGCTCTGAGATTTTCACCTCCTTGTGGAAACTTCCAGATAGGTAAAGCTGCGCTTAGAATGCAAGCAAGGTGGCTTTATTTTGTATAGAATTAGTTTTCTCATGGAGAAGATGCAGAAATGTTGTCCCCAGCTTTTGTACTGCCTGTATTCTGAAGACTGTTCATCAGGCTTGAGCTTTCAGGGCTGGGTTGTGTATAATACTATTTTGTCTTGTTGAAGACTTTTGTATTGTAACTAAAATTGGGTTCTTCACTAAACTAGAAGCCTCTTTCTCCTACTTTTTTTGGGTAGGCTGATAATTCTTTTCTCTTTGGGTAAGATACTTGCTGTGGTTGTATGTTTAACTAGCAACAGGATTCAGGTTTTGAAGAGAAGTCCTTTCAGTTCCTTTTGTCAGTGTATTGAGGGGCAGTGTACCCAGTATGAGGGTCGGTTAAGCTGGAGGGGTTTGTGCTGCAGCACAAATGAAGAAACCTCAGGTGCTGCCCCCATCCCCTTGTTCTCAATGACTGTCACTTGGCAGAGTCTGTTTGACTTAATAACAACTCATGGTCGTAAAAATGTTGGGGTGATAAGGCCTGTTTGAGGATAATAGTAGTTCTGAGCAGGTGACTGTTTCCCTTTGGCCCCAGTGTTTCTGTGGCCAGCAGGAGAGGAGTTAATGACCTTTTCAGAAGGTTGAAGAGATGCCCCAAGACAAAGGCTGTGTTGCTTGTAGGACTGGGTTTTGGTCTGGCTCTGTTGCTCACCAGTATTTGATTTGTCCTCCAGTGCATGGAGCTGTTAAACCTCTGTTTGGAGGGGCTGTAGATGTTTAGACTTGTAATGGATAAAATCCTGCAGAAGCCAAGCAGTTGATTAAATCCATGATGATATGTTTGAATTTACAGGCAGCAACAGGTCTTGTGTATAGTTTTTTCTTCTAAATGTCCACAATGTGCTTCTAGGGAAGAGATTGTGAAGAAAACCTGTAGAACATTTGATAGAACTTGCCCATTTTTTTTCTCCCCCCTTGTTGCAATTTCTGGATATAGGGCCAGAAGATATTGGAAACTGTTCCTGAACGTGTTTCTCAACCTCTGCATTTCTGGAGTAATTACTACATGTGTAACATTGTTTATTATATGAGATAGGTGTGAATAGTTCTTTGTTCACTTCATTAAACAGCAGGTTTTCAATGGAAGTGTTGTAGTGCAGCCTGTAGTATGACTGAAAGTGTTCTGTAGTTAATCCCAGTGGATGAAGCACAATGATCGAAACTGTTTTAAAGAAAGGCTGGAACTTCTGTAACCTCTGCATTGCTGTGTGGTGCTCCTGGGGTACCAGTAGGGTACACAGGGTGAAAGATGTGGTGTTCTTCAGGAACCTGCCAGTTCCAGAGGAGGTTTTGGTGTTCCTCAGTTTCCTCTGGCTTTCATAGCTTCAGAGAAGATGTAGTGGGACAAATGTGATGGGATCTTGGTGCAGAGTAGGGCTGTGACTCTTGGTTAGCTCAGCTTACCACTTGTCTAAAACCATGTGTGTTTGATTAAAGTGTAATGGTCAAACCAAAGATCTTCAGTTTGATGGTGATTTCTGGGATTTGAAGAAGTAAAATCTACTGGTAGAGGTAGAGATTTTTTTTCCCCCACTTCTGGTGAGAATAGAACAGCTATAAAACTTTGTGTAGAGACCTGTTGGAGACTGATAACATTGTCCTGCCAGGAAAAAGATTGAGCCTACAGTCTCCAGTGCTGAAATAGCTTGTGTCTGTTAAGATTGTGACTTTGGCACCTGAGGAAAACAATGACAGTTAAGCTTCATTAGTTTGTCATTGCATGTGCTACCATGGCACGGCAGAACATGAGGAGGTGGAATGATGAGTGGGCAAGGTAAATAAGAACAGAACAGCAGAGCTTCACGTTAGGGGTGGCACAGCCTAATTGCATCGTTGTGCTTTTGGCAGAAGCTACAGGTGTCAGTCCAGTGTCCCTGTGCCTGTCAGGTAGCTGTGACACATTTGTTCTGTTGAGCTGTGGTACTTGGGGCTTAGCCTCATTCATTAATGCGGTTTGCTGTCTGTGGGATTCCTACCAGTTCTGCAGGGTAAATGGTGAATGAACTGGAGCACTGTGTGGCAGGACACAGCCTGTCATTCCTGGCTGCCTCATGCTAGGCTCTCAGTTAGTGTACATTTAACACTGTTCTTCTAACGAGTAGTGGTACTTGGGGCTTAGCCTCATTCATTAATGCGGTTTGCTGTCTGTGGGATTCCTACCAGTTCTGCAGGGTAAATGGTGAATGAACTGGAGCACTGTGTGGCAGGACACAGCCTGTCATTCCTGGCTGCCTCATGCTAGGCTCTCAGTTAGTATACATTTAACACTGTTCTCCTAACGAGTCGTCAGCAATCACAGTGTGGTTAAGTAATGAAAGGATTAGAACCTTCCTTAAGCAGTTTGGTCTTTTGCTTCTGCTGGAGGGTAGGAAAGCTGTATTTGGGAATAATTGTTTGAACCTCAGGTTTAGAAGTCCTTTTCAAAAGGCTTAAAATACAAATATAAGTTAATTCATATTTTATATGTTACTTTTCAGTGTAAATGGCTGTTTGGCACGGGGAGATGTGGTTGCTCTGGTTTCCCTCAGGGTGACTCTTTTGTTACTTCTCCAAGCACCTAATTTTTCTTCTGGTGGTTCCTCTTGCAGCTTTGACTTGTTTCCCTCATACAATACTCATAATTCTCTTCATCTGTTCAAATCTGGATTGTATTTTTTTGTTAATTACCACATTGCTCTGTATCCCAGTTGACAGATAGTGGAGCATTCTGTAGTTCTGCAGTTTATCCTCACTGCTGGGAGCCAGGTTCATGTGCTCATGCTTTTCCCACTGGTCTCTGCCTCCTCTGAAGCACTTCGAAGATCACACATTTCTGTAGGATTGTACTGATAACTATTATCCACAGTGCAAAAATGTTCTTGCTGCCAATTCCTTTTTTCCCTATCTGTTAAAAAAGCAGATAAACAAATAAAACCCAAACAAAACAGAAGACTAATAAAAACTAAAACTAAACTAAAGAATTTTTGGGACCCTTGTGAAATGCATTTCAGTGAACATCGGATACTTCATTTGTGTTTGTGCTGATGGATTTGTTTGGAACACTCCAGTGTAAAAGTGAGGAGCAACTGTGGATGAGAGGAGGAGGAAGCCTAGTTCCATAAGCTGTCATTAACTACAGCTTCTGTTGAATGGTTTGAAAGATGTGTTACCTGTGAGAGTAATTCCCTGACCTTTCCCTCCTAGAAATGGTTGAATCAATGAAGAAAGTGGCTGGAATGGATGTGGAGTTGACAGTGGAAGAAAGAAACCTGCTTTCTGTCGCATATAAAAACGTGATTGGAGCCAGAAGAGCTTCCTGGAGAATAATCAGCAGCATTGAACAGAAAGAAGAAAATAAAGGTGGAGAAGACAAATTAAAAATGATTCGGGAATATCGGCAAATGGTAAGATGGAGTTGGTCTTACGGAATAATGTCCTCTAGTTCCAGTCCAGTTTTGGTACCTTTGGCATGAGCTGCCCTGGGATTCCAGATTGCCTGTGGTGTGGTGACATGTGATAAGGTGACAGTCTCGAACGGCTGAATGGAGGTGGTTCTTATCTGCCTGGTGAAGGGGAGAGATTGGGTGTTTCTGTGTGAACACTCAAGGGCAGTAGCCTTGGAGAAGAGAGGGCTTTTCCCTCAGTGCATCCACAGACCTGCCAGGCATTTCAACTGTGCTGGCACTTTTCCCTCCCTGGTTACTCACGTGTGAGGCTGCACATGCTCAGGAGGCCTTGTTGTTTCCCCTCCAACCTGACTTAGCTCAAGGAACTTCTGGGGTTTTTTACCCTGTCAAAGAGGTCTTTGGCTGTGAAGTTTCCAGTTGTGATAAAAGTTACTTTGGATCATGCAGTGACTCTTTGTGTGATTGCAGTTCTCTGTCCTACAGAGTTCAAAATATGAACAGTTAGTTGAAGTGGCAGTGGGGAAGGCCCTTCAGTGTTGTTTCTGGCTCCTTTTCCTTGTCTTTTATCACTCCCTGTTCCTGGGGATGGGGGATGCTGAGGTCTCATGGTCATCTCAGCTGTGAGACTTGCCTGTGTAATAAACTTGAGAGCCTTGTTTTTTCTCTCCTGAGAGAGGGAAAAATTGATCCACATAACTTCATGCTGACTAGTCAGTGTGTGCAGCTTTACCTAAAATGGAGAACTCTGAGCAAGTTTTGACTTTCATTGGTAAGGGCTAATGAAACCTTCAGCTATTAGAACAGTGAGTTGTTGTTCCCCCCTTCCCCCTTCCTTGAACGGTGGTTCAGCATGGAGCAGACATACTCCAGTACTATTTAAATCCCACACATTTCTGCAGAGACTTAATCTCCATTATTTGAGGACAAGTGCCTCCACATGGTTCACATCTTCACTTCCAGAGAAACAGTGGAGTCTATTATATCACCTGGCACTGATTCATATACCACCAATGGAAGTGATGTTGGCTTGGAAATCTTCTCGCAGGAATGGCTCTGGACTACTTTCTGTTGACTCACAGGGTTTCTGTTCCTCCCTGGAATTGTTAAAAGTTGAGTTGCTAATTTTATGCTGGCATGCTGCTGGGATGAGACTCTGCCAGTTACATACAGTCCCAAATACCTTCTCTTGATGGGTGTCTACAGTCTTTCTGACAGAACACATAAAATAAGACAATAGCTATCCAGTGATTGTTTACATTTGTTTTACACTGTGTGTTTCCAGGTTGTTTTGCACAAGGTTTTGTGGGTGGTTCCTATTTTCTGCCAAAGATCCTTTAATGATGAAAAGTCCTTTTTCTTGGTTTTGACAGGACTGTAGGAAAAAAAAAGCATTATTCTGCATCCCTGTGTGTAAAGAGCCCATGTGCCATGCTTAACTGACTGGGGTGCAGGAATACATGTGTATAGTCCTTGAGGTATCTGGAGAGAGAGAGAGAGAGGCCACACAAAATGGAGTGTCATGCCAACAGTGTCTCAGCTGTTAAATCCATAAAGGAAACAGCTATCACAGCTGCTTTAGGTGGAGGAGTGCAGTGAGAACTGTCATGGAGTTCCAACTGGAGAAAGACTCAATGTGCCTACTCAGCTCTAGAGGGAGTTTTCCAAGAGGCTTCTGAGTTTTGTCTGTAGCCAAAGCCCGGATCCTGTTAGGAGGTGCTGGGAGACTTCCTATGGGTTGGCATCTGCTCTGAGCAGTGTGTGAATGGGTTTGGCAAGATGGCATGGGAGCAGGAAGGGCCTGAAGAACATACTGCAAAGGTTTGGATGGTGCTGTTCACTGTCACTGCTGGAACAGCAGCACAGCTGCCCTCTTGTCATGTTTGGTGCTTCTCTGAAGAGATGAGGTCCAGTTCTGGTTATTAGGATTACCTTCCCAACAAATACTACTGTAGCATTCTGCAGAGTAAATTCAGTGTTGGGAGAGCCTTCCCAGATTTGAAAGGCTCTGAAGAAGGATAGCAAAAAGCCAACAGCGGAAAACACGTGTCTGGGGGCTGAGAGGCCAAGTTTAAAGCACTGGGCAGTTGGAGGGAACCAAACTCTCTAAAGAACACGTTTCTGTTACCTCCCACCAGACCCAGGTGTGACCTTGCTCAGTTGTAGAAGTACTGTTCCAACTGACATGGAAGGTGTAGTTTTGTGAAAGTAATTATTTGACTGCTTAGGTCTAAATGAGTAGTTATTATAATTTAGCACATGGCTCTTAATGTTGGGAGTTTGAGCTACCAGCCAGAGTGCTTTGTGGCAGAGCTGCAGGGCTGGTGGAGCTGTCAGGGTGGGACCAGGCTGGTTTTGTCCAAAGCAGCACTGAGAGGTGATAGAGACTCCAGGCTGGGTCTCTACCCAAACCACTTCAGATAAATGTAGCAAAACACATCCATAGCCATGGGGGAAAATGCCACTTAATTCCTTTGTAGTCAGCTGCTCTTCTAGTCCTGTGGCCATTTGGATACACAAAAGGAGAGCCCTTGGCTTTCTCATCTGACTGATCTCTGTGATGAGAACACACTGAGGCTTGTGCACTTCATCCTTGAGAGGATGAAGTGGTGTGTGGCTACACATAATGCAGTTCACTTCCTTGCAGTCAAACCTAATCCATTCCCTAATAGCATAGGACAGGTATTCACCTTCCCCTTCCTGCTCTGGATTTGTGGCATATGGGAATGTGTTTCTAGTGCTCTGACTTACAACCTGGGTTGAATTTTGGGGCAGCTGCCAGGCTCTCTCCCCCATCCCTTCTTAGAAGGGTTAAGCGATGAATTGGTGTACGTGTGTGTGGTTGGTCTGTCTGGTTTGGGCAGGGGTGGGAGAGAAGAAGGTTACAGGAGGCTTTAACAACTGTTTCCTGCTGTTGTAGTGTCCTGTTGCATTCCAGATGGGAGGTACAGTTATCTGGGGGGGCCTACATGTTGAAATAGGTTAAAGAACCAGCACAGGCCACACTTGTGTCCCTGGTTGTTTCTGTAAGTTTGCTTATTTAGCTTATTTAGTGGTTTACAAGCATTTGTGTCTGCAGAGCTGAGAACACAGCCTGGAGTCTGATGAAGCCACTGTACTAAAGACAGGCAGGGTGGATTGACAGGGCCTCTCCACACCCTTTGGGGTGAGCAGTCTGTCCTTGCTGGTCAGTCTGTTGTACCAGATGTCATACTTGGAGCTGGAATGGTGATAGACCCTAAACCTGCCTTTTGTGAACACTCTGCAGGCTTAGTGTGTGCTCTTGTGCTCACTGAGCCACTCTCTAGAACACATCCTTTCTGTACAGGAGCTTTTAGGATTTTCTTGTGGGGTTTTTGTTTTGTTCTTAAGCAACTTTAGTATTAAATCTTTTTAAACTAAGCTTGGTCAGGACTTTGACATTGCCCTGGACAGCAGCTGATCTCTGATAACTTGTGTGACTGATCCTTTAAGCAAAGCTGAGAAAGGTCTGTCTGAGATGAAATAGAAGTTTGTACATGTATGGTTATTTAACTAAAGAGGATTAGAAACTGATTTAATTCTTTGCAGTTTTGCTGAAGATCTCTCTGCAAAAAGAAGTCATTGAAAAAGAGGATCAAGAGGAAAGAAGTTTGCAGGAACTGACTGCTGGCCAAAGGTTTCATAGCTTTTGTAGCCCAAGAATATATGAAGTAGATTCTTCTCCAGTGACCATATTTCAGCAACTTCCTTAAGCATTTGTCACATAACTCTCAAGTATAGCATCTGATTCTTCCTCTGAATGTCAGGGCACTCTGACATTGTTCGTACATGAAATGTTCTGTCAATTAATTTCTCTAAAGGAACTTTTGTCAATTGTTAAGTCATTCTGTACAAATCAGTATGTGTGTATATGCACTTTAACATTTATTTTGGATCTGTAATTTTAACACCTCTTGAGTATAGCTGTCGTGGTTACAAACCCTGAGAGTTTGGGAGCTGTATGGTGATAAAAATATTACATGGCAAGGAAAATGCTTAAAGAAAGAAGGGAGCGAACTGCATGGGTGGGAGGATAGGAAGGGGATGGTGGGCTGAGTGGGGCTGCTCTTGTGAGCCAAGACATGCAGTTTCTGGTAGTTTCTTGACACTTTACATTGATGCCTCTGCTTGAAAATCTCTTAATCTATATGAAATTAGCTTGAGCCAGAGTTTTCTTCAGCTGTAGCTATGAAAGTTACTGTGAAATCCTGAAAGAACAGCAGTAGGTGACTGCACTTCACCAGCCACTCCTGCTCTGAGCGATGTGGGAGGCTCAGAGCGAGTCTGGTTTTGGCAGTGTTGATGTCAGAAGGCAGTTTTTAGCTTTTTTTGGGTGTGCTTAGGTTCTTTGCTCTCAGGTGTGAAACTCTCTGTGGTGAAACCTCACCCCATAGCCCCTAACCTCATAGACTTTGCTTTATAGTCAAAACTGTAAAACAGTAAAGGCAACGTGACTCCATTTTCAGCTTTGGCAGTTAAATGCAGTATCTGTTCTTAAATGAGGCTTTATATATTGTTTTTTTGGCCACAGATCTCACTGTTAGTGTTGATGGTTTCTGCTTTTTCGCTCAGTTGCTGTGCTTTGTCTTTGTGCCTGCTTCTGGAGTTTGTTTTCCTCCTGGATCTGACCTTTTGTTTGTTGGCACATCTTCATTCTCTTCTGATACTGCATGATTTTGGTCTTGAAGGCTCTTCTGTTAAGAGCTTTGCCTCCAAGTAGTTGCTAGAAAGTCGTTCTGAGGGTGCCATTTATCTCTGTGGCATAATGGAGATTAGCTGATTTGTGTTAATTGCCTTCAAATTGTCCCCTCTGCTATTGCCACTTCTAGGCAGCCTTGCAGGATCAAAAATGTGAGGAATTAAGGGTTGTGCAAGCCTTAGAGTAAGGAATTACATCCTGAGACAAACTTAATGGAACAGTCTAGCAAGATGTCTTCCAGGGAATGTACAATTCCATTGTTCTCATTTCACCACCATCAGTCCTTGCCTCTTGTGTGTGCCAGCTCATTGTGCTGAACTGTTCTGCTTAATGCACCTGTGGAGCAGCTGAATTTATTATTCTGTCCTACCCCTTTGGAATTTTATGCTGTTACCTGTTGGATATTGGGTATTTTTGAAGTAGCTCTTAGTCTCACCTGCTAACCTTGCAGCCTCTGTTAATTTTGGGTCACGTTTTTGTCTTCATTCCTAGGTTGAAACTGAACTGAAGTTAATCTGTTGTGACATTCTGGATGTACTGGACAAACACCTCATTCCAGCAGCTAACACTGGCGAGTCCAAGGTTTTCTATTACAAAATGTAAGTATGTGCTTGTGAGGCAAAGCCCTGTTAGTGCACCTGGAGTAGAGACAGAACTAGAGTGGCTGTGTGTGTGTTCTGCCCTCTTGGCCACAGTGCCCTGTTCCAGAAAGAGGCAGTTCAGTCCTGTCTAACCAATCTCTCATTTCCACTGCCTTGGAGGTGTTGGTGCCCTCATCATGTGGCTTTGGATAGATTATGATGTTTGGAATAAGGCCATGAGAAGTAAACTGCAGTTTCCTTTAATTGAGCTAATCTTGTGGAAATCACATCCCTGCTTCAGTGTTCTCTTGCATGAGCTGAACACTCCTCATAAAGAGAAGGAAATAAGGTAGACAGACAACTGTCCTGTGAGGCTGGTTTAAAATTCACTCAGCTCCTCATGCAGTGTTGGCTAGATAGTAATTCATCAGTGTGAATAGATAAGCATCGATTTCAGAACTAGGCTGTTAATTTAGTGGCTGCTGGGGAAATGAGGATTACTGACTTCCTACTGCTTCTGTTTTCAGGAAGGGGGACTACCATAGGTATCTGGCTGAGTTTGCCACAGGAAATGACAGGAAGGAAGCTGCAGAGAATAGCTTGGTGGCTTACAAAGCTGCTAGTGACATTGCAATGACAGAACTCCCACCAACACATCCCATCCGCTTAGGACTTGCGCTCAACTTCTCTGTATTCTACTATGAAATTCTTAATTCTCCTGATCGTGCCTGCAGGTGAGTGGGGACTGGGAAGGGGGGGAATGTTTGTTATGGGAATACCAAACAAGCCAGAAGTGGTTGCTGCTTGGGTAACTGCTTTTCCTCAACAGGAACATGGGGTTGGATTTCTTCCTGCTGTTACTTTTTGACTTGTTCTGATTGACATCAATTCACTGGAAGGTTTTAAACTGCCACTTCGTTTTGTGTCCAGACCCACGTGTTTATGTGGGAGTAGACCTTGATTGAGCAGCTAATGGCAGTCTCACAGCTTGCCAGGTTAACTCTGTGCATGCCCTGAAACTGCCAAGGGGTGAGGTGATCTAACTTGCTCCTGTTGGCTGTTGTAGAAGCTAATTCTGTGTATAGAGTGACAGTGGCTCATCTGTCTATAGGACATCAGCTCATATGAGCACAAAAGTGATGACTGAAGCAAATATTGTTTGTCTTCTGTTATTGCAGGTTATGTAATGCACTTTGATCAAGATTTTAACAGACCTTGATCAGTTGTCCTGCAAAATGTAGAAATGTTTAATAAAACCAATATTCTTGAGTACAAAGTTTCTTAAACGCACAAAGTGAGTGGTTTTGAATATTAGAGGTACTTGAGTGAGCATCTAAACACTAACAGGTTTTGGTGTTACTTAAGAGAGAAGCTGTGGATGCCTCACAGCCAGACTAGACCATAGGTGTGCTGAGGCGCAGGTTTCACTTGTGGAAATCTGTTGAACAGTAGTTAGATCTGCTTTTGTTCTGTGCTTCTAGGTTGGCAAAAGCAGCTTTCGATGATGCTATTGCAGAACTGGATACACTGAGTGAAGAAAGCTATAAGGACTCTACACTTATCATGCAGTTGTTACGTGATAACCTGACACTATGGACTTCAGACATGCAGGGTGATGGTGAGTAACTCCTCTCTGAAACACTGTGTGCCCTGACCTCTGCCCAGGAGACAGAGCATGGAAATGTACTGGGGTTTGATGGTTTACTTCTGTCTTCCCTAATAATTGACCCTCCTGCACTTCTGCCCTCTTAGCACTGGATAAGGTGGTAGGGTGACATTGGCTTCCTTTGAGAAGCTTCTCAGCTCTCACTTGAAGGAAGGAGGTGTGGAGTTAGCAACACTAGGTTGTTTTTTCCTCCCCACCTGGCACCTGTGATTATTGTAAAAGCAGTGACGTTATTTTAATTCTCTTCTTCCTTGTCATGCTCATCTCTGGTTGTCACTCCAACGAGATATGAATTTCCGGGGCAGGAGAAAGGACAATGATCTAGTTCCCCTTTTTTCCAGGTCACTCAGTATTTGTTGGCATTTCAGTGGATGATTTCCTGCTGTCATACTAAGCACTCACATTGCAGCACTTTCATATCTTTTACTCCTCTTACGAAGAATTGAATACAAAGAAAAGAGGAAAAAGGGTTTCGTAAAATACTTTGTTACCATGGAAAAAAAAAAAGACTGGGGAAATGTAATTTGCTATTTGAGATGCTTGAAGTACTTTGATCACTGCTGAATTTCAGATAAATACATGAGTGTCTTAAATTGTTTGGCAAGATGTTACTGGAAGCATATGGTGCTAGGCACCCAGCATTCCTGTGGGACCTTCACTGGGGCAGTGTCCCTCTGAAAGCAGTTGGAGAAGCCTTGAACTCTTCCTGACTGCCCATGTTTATGTAGGGTCAGTGGTTTGTTCCGGAGTGTTTGTTACTCAATAGCTTCTAGCTCTGCTCTGTGGGTTTCTGACAGAACTGGGAATACTGTAAGTGTGGAGGATCTTGGCTCCTGGATTGCTCCACATCCCAGTGCTTAAGGCTCGTGCACATTGAAGGATGTAAGGTTAACGTGTGGATGGGTCTGTGCAGACTCTGCTCTGAAAGCTGCAGGTGTTGGGTGCCCTCCTTGCCATGGTTAGGCGTTGGGGAAAAAATTGTTCTCAATTTCCACAATTAAGACAGGAGCTTTTATATTTTAATGGAGCCAAATCCCCTTGTGCTCTGTGGGAAATGGGAAGTAACAAGGCTGTTTCAGTGCAGTAACAAGGCTGTGGATCCCTGCTGAGATAGTGGAGCTCTGGATCTGCCCCTGGGTTGGCTGATGTGTCCCATGGATCTCCTGTGGCCTAGAAGTTCCACAAGATTATTTACAGAGGCTCTTTATTTCTTTTTTTGTATAATTTAGATTCAAATTTCTTGTTTCATAATTAGCTCCATAGCATAGAAAATAGACACTTGTGTTCTTCCTGAAGGATTTCACATTATCCCAGTTCCTGGTTATGATGTGTGCCAGAAGGATAATGATTACAGAAGTGAAAATACAGCAGAACTGCTTCAAATCATGGTGAAATTCTTCAGGTCTGCAAAAAATAGTGTTTATGCAGAAAGTTTGGACACAGGTGCAAAGTTAAGTTACCTCATGCCAACATGCTGAGCAAGTGCATTTCCAGCTGTTGCTTCCAGAACTCTGTATTCCCAAGGTGGGCAGAGCCTTTGAGGAGTGAAGTTAGTAGTGGCACAATTACCAGTTTCCCAGGGGGTGAAGAGACTTGAAAAGGGCTTGTTCTTTTCCATCAGGCTTTTCCCTGTTTCCATTTCAGCTGTGCAGGCCATAGGGAATGACTCTTATCCCAGGCATTATCCAGCTGCTGCACTTCCATCCCATTTCCTGTAGCTTTTACCATGGCACAGACAAACTCTTAAGTTTATTCCATGCTTGTAATGTCGTCTCCATATGATTCCTGTTTTCCCCTTCTTTCCTGCTGTATAGATTCCTAAAGGAAAGTCCAACTGTTCATTTCCTATAAACTCTACTTTGTAAGTCTCTGTCATGGCTTAATGAGCTCGGTGTCAGTTTTCCCTGATCACTAACTGTCTGTCACTCGCTGCTGACAAACTGTGTCTGTGTGCCTCCAGCCCAGGGCTGCCAGTGCCTGTCACCCTGCCCAGGGCTGATGTGCTTGACTGAGATCCAGAGCAACTGGGAATTGAGCTGCATACCTGGATGGATATTAAGAATATTTGGGCATGAAAAGTACTTTCACAGTGGCCTGTTGGAGGAGTATTGGCTTAAGTGTGTTGGTTAGAGCATGCTCAGATCTTCTCTTAATCATCTTCCTGGGCCAGAGCCTCTGCTTTCCTCTTTTATGTAATTCTGTGTATAATTTGATTGGGTTTACAGAGTTACAAACTCTGCCTTGTACTGTACCTGCTGGTAATCCTGAATCTGGACATGCTCTGAGCAGACATCCTGGTTATCTGCTGGAAACCCTTAGTCTCATTTGATTAGAGCTTATTGCAAATTAAGTTTTTAGTTAGTGGTTTGTGTTTATTGCCCTTAAGAGAGTACCATGTCATGTGGTTAAGGGTAATGGTAAAGAAAACAGCTTTTCAGTCGCTCTGACCAATTAATTGAGCTGTGCATGTGTTCTGGCACCAGCTGAAGTACCTCAGACTTGCCCCGTTTGCAGCAGAATTTTGGCCAAGCTGTGCAGAGGGTGCTGCATGTGTCTCCCTGGAGGGTCATCAGACAGTCTTTATGGACAGACCTCATTCCCCTGCATGTCACAGCCTGGCTGAATAGGTCCCAACTGGCTGGTTTTCAAGGGAAATTAATTTCCACAACATTTTTTCTTTAAAAATCCTAGAGTTTCTTGTCAGGTTGAAGTAGATTGTTTGTTCATACTTTGGTAATAGTAACCATCAGTGTCAATGTGTAAAATTGCCTGAAGTACTTTGGTGGTGTTGAGACATGAGTGGACTTGGGCAGAAAAAAGTGCTACATTTCTAAAACTTGTTTTGGTCTCAACTGGTGTAGCTGGTGAATAGATGTCCTACTAAGGACATCTCTCTGGAGTAGAGCTGAGGTTTTGGGAAGGTATTTCCTGAAGGAAGGATGTTGATCCCAAGCTGTTCTGATGACTTGTGTCTTGGCTCAGCAGGAGTGATCACCTGTGTGGTGTGAGGTCTCAGCAGTGGTGGTTTGTGTTTGTCCCTCGGCAGAGTCTGTGCTCTAATAGCCTGTGCTACAGTTCTGGGTGAGGTGTTGAGGTGATTACAAGGCTTAATTTCCATGGAAACGCTTCACTCGGAACTGGCAGTGTTGAATGTGGGAGTGAGTGTGTGTACTTGCATGGAACTATTAATCTCTAGGTGCTTGTTAAGCCTTTCTGCAGGTCTCACTTTTAAATGTTAACGTTTTCCTTCCTTCTCCCACTTCATAGGTGAAGAACAGAATAAAGAAGCGCTGCAGGATGTGGAAGATGAAAACCAGTGAGACACAAAGGCCAACAAGAGAACCCATCTCTGACCACCCTTCCCCTTCCCCACAAAAACCCTCAGTGTCACTCTGAGAACCACCAAATCTGACTTTTACATTGGGTCTCAGAATTTAGGTTCCTGCCCTGTTGGGTTTCTTTATTTTTATTTTTTTTACACAGTTTAAAAGTTCTTAAAGGCAAGAGTGAATTTCTGTGGATTTTACTGGTGCCAGCTTGTAGGTTCTTTAAGACACTAACAGGACTGCGTAAAGGCTCTTTCAGCATTACTGTATTGTCTCTGCCAGCTGTGGTGACATTGCCATCAGCCCTGGATGTGACACCTGAAGGCCGTTAGACTCGTAGGGAGGGATTTGTCCTGGCCAGGTAGTGTGCATGTGGTGGCATCTTTCTTTTTTTTATAACTGTTTAAACTGAATTTTATACCAATGTTTAAACTTAATTGGGTGTTTAGCTTGAAGTTACAGATTGCATTGGGACATATATTGTAGTGGTTTTACTGTATAAAAACAAAAGTTTCCAAACTGCTGAAATGTTGCTGAAAAATCATGGTGCTGGTAACAGTTCAACAATCCGTGGCTGCTCATTCTTGCCTGTTCTTTACTTTCCCTCCAAGCAGGTTAGCATTGAAGGTGGCATTGATAAGCCTGCATGCGTGTTCAATATTTTTTTCTTTCTCCCTCCCCTCTCCCCATCTCCCTGCGCTCGCTCAACCTCTTTTGTTCAGTATGTGTAACTTGAAGCTAATTTGTACTACTGGATATCTGACTGGAGCCACAGATACAGAATCTGTATTGTTCTTACTGAAACACAGCATGGAATTAACATTAAACTTAAATAAAACAAACCTAAATTAAAAAGGCCAAATATTACTATGCCTTTCTTTTAGATTTTAGGGGGTTTTGGCAAGAATAACTTTGCTTTGTTGCTTGTAATAGGAGCAGTTGGAGGGGGAGAGTGAGAGAGCAGGAACAGCTTTATTCTTCAGATATGAGGTCAGATCCCAGCCTGACACGTGAGCTGTGCTGCTGGAGCAGTGTGGGAGCAGAGCGACGGAGGCAGAGGCAGTTCCACACCTTGATGCAGTCCTTCCCTGCCTGAATGCACAAACTGCCTGAGCTGCTTGGTGCTTTCCTCTCACCTGCTGCTACAGCACTCCTCATCCAGGTAATGACTGGATGCCCACCCTGCTTAGCCAGCGTCCTAGAAATCTCTAGGAATAATCTGCCCCTGGAAATGGGCAGTAGCAGGAATACCTCGTGAGAGCCAGAGGTGCAGCAGGACTGGGACACAGCCTCCCTCAAAAACTCCAGCAAGATGAGGACACAGTTTGTACAGCACAGACAAGGTGTTGGTTTTTTTGTAAAAATTTATTCAGCGTATTCTGGAAGAGGTTATATACTCTATCCCAGCATGTCCAGCACTGTATATACACACTGCAGCACAGTGGTGGGCGCGGCCTGCAGCGGATCCGGCATTCCAGGCCTGGGAGCAGAGGCTGAGGCGATGGATGGTGTGAGGCAGCAGCTTTGGCGAGGTTGCATTCAGGGCTTGCTGTAGCTGTTGGTGCTACGGCGTCAGGAGAGGTGGCACAGGAAGGGTTTGTAAGGCAAGTAGAGTGCAGGACGCACTGTCTGAGGTCTGGAGCTGTGCTGTGCAGGCTGCAGCTGTTCCACCTGCAGCCGCTGGGGTGGGCAGGTGAAGGCGCTGAGGATTCACCTCTGGTGCAGTCTGAGACCTGTCAGCACTCAAACTGTGTCCCCTGGGGCTGTGGGCTAGGGCTGGAGTGACACAGCTGCTCCCTGCCCAGAGCTGTGGGGCAGCAGCAGTGCTGGTCCAGCCCTCTCCCTTGTAAGGCAGCACTGAGGCATTTATATAAATACTGTAGGAACTCAAACTTCCAGTTATCGCTAGAAACAAGAGGAAAAGCCATTTTTGCAGCAGGTGCTGCTCTGAGCCTGCTGAGCTGTGTGGGGAAGGGGCAGTGATGACTCCCAGGCAGGTACAAGGCAGGAGGAAAGCTCATGCACATCCCATGGCCAAGGACTACAGGCTGCACTGCCAGCCTGGAACAGCACAAAGCAGTGCTAACCTCTGCAGGTGTTACGTCTTGTTTGTGTGGATATGAAAAATTCCTATAGTATAAAAATAGAGAGCAAGAAATGGGACAGCTGACTTCAAAAAAAGGTAAAAGTCTCTAGATCGAGATCAGTGAAGAAGTTATATGATGGGTTTTTCAGGTCAATACCTTGTAAGCATGAACTAAAACCAACAAAAAAATTGCAAATCTAAAACACTGAAGTTTCCACATCAACTCCCTCTTGTAGTGCATCTCATCCTGGGCTATAAAGTATTTACAGTTGGACTCTTTACACGATATGGCTTCACTGGATTGGAACACAAAGCAGTAAAACATCTCCGAGCAAAATTCTTCATAAAACATTCTCAATACAAAGTTTGGCATTTCATTGATTTGGCTGAGAAAGCAGCAGAGTTATTTCTTCTCTGATGATTGTGCTTTTTTTGGTGATGACAAGCACAACTTTTGGTCGTTTCCATCAGGGCTCAAACTCCAAGAGAGTCAGAGCTCCCTCTCCCTCCAGGCCCAGCTGAAGGTGCTGCGGCTGCGTTGGACCCACGCGTTTGCCGCTGGGTAAGGAAGAGAGGACAAGGCCTTTCGTTTGGGACTTTGAGAGTAAGACAGGAAAGCAAGATGGATTTGGTGATTCTGAAAGTGCAGGTCTTTGGTAATAAACAGAAAGAGCAAAGCGAGGAAGGGAAGGTTTACGGGGAAAATGTTCGGCCAACTCTACGGAGGAAAAGGTCCTGTGTGGTGGCACATTTCATCATCGGGAATTCAACCGAGGAGCAACCTGCAGGGGAAGGTTACAAAGTGTGTTCAGAGATGCTGCAACAGTTTTAGCTCTTGAACATCTATTCTGAGGCTGGGCAGCTTGTGGTGCTAACCTGAGCTCTCAGCTCTAGTGCTGGAAAGGGAGTCAGTGCAGTTTGGATTTGTTCTGGATTTATTTCTGTATACCCTTTAACCTAACAGTGCATAGACAGTGTGACTGAGTGACTGGCAGAATGACCCCAAACAAGTTGAGAAGGGAAGAGGATTTTTCTTTTTTTTGCTTTGTGTTACTAAATGTCATTCTGAAATCTGATTTGCAGAGTAAAGCATTCAAGTCTGAATCTTGGGGGGGAAATAAATAGTGCTAGGACAGGCACTTGCTGAGTGTGGGTGAGCCTGGCAGGGCTGCAGCAGCACAGCTCCAGCTGGGGGAAAGGCTGGGACACCAGGGCAGGGCAGTTGGCAAGAACATCACATGGCTCATGTGCAGATAGGATTTGCTGCCAAAATCTGGGTGTGAAGCCCAGTCCATACTCACCACTGTTAGATGCCCATTCTTGGCTTTGGCTATGAGCAGTTCTGAGCCCGAGATGAAGTCGATGATGCCTTCCTTCCCTTGCCCAACTGTGAATTTTATGCTGTGAAGAGCAAGAGGTAAGAAGAGCTCATGAGTGTGACCTCTGCACTAGCTTAGTGGCCACAGGGTAAGTGGCTGCTTTGTGTTGGTGCTTAGCTGCAATAGATGTGCTCTGGAGCTGCAGTTAGGTGTGTTTGCTATGTTTGATGTGGTCCAGGTATGTTTCTGCAGCCCTAGCCCTTTAATGCTGAAGCAGAGCCAAGGCAGGTCCCATGAGGGCCCTGGTGTCACTCACCTGCCCTGGTTGATGTTGACATTGTTGACTTTGCCAGCCTGAATGGCTGTTTTTGTCAGTGTCTCGATCACATGGTCACTCTGCAGGACAACATCTCCCTGGGAGGACAGACAGACAGTGGTGTATGATTGTGGCTTTACTACATCAGATATATCACTGTGCTGTAATTAATGGGGACAGAACTATCTCCACAGGTTAGCATGGAAAAACCCTTCTAAGGTAGACCAGGCTTGGTGGGGATCTGTTGGGGGTCACACTGTGGCAGGTTATTCAGTCACCAGGTGTGGGGACAGGGACAGCACTAAGCCTGGCAGAGAACAAGCCCAGGTGGAGCCCATCTGTGAGCACAGGTAAATACAAGTCAAAGGCTTCTTAGAGCTGGCACTTTGTTATATCCATGTCACCTTGTGTGCCCTCCCTCCTCCCAGCTGATCTGCTCTTTGCCTTTAAACACTTCGTTTCAGAGGTGTCTGGAGGAAGGATGGACGAGCCCCACTACCTTCTGTTTGTTGTCCTCGCAGCGCACGTGCAGCACGAACAGGTTGTCGCTCAGGCTGCTGACGGAGATGCCTGGAGGAGAGAGCACAGCCTTGCTGGGACCCTGGGGGTGTCACAGCCCCCCAGGACACACTGAGACCCCAGAGCTGAGAGGCTGAAAAGGGACTGAAGTGAGAGGCTTCAGCCAAAACCTACAGTGACCACACTGCAGCAGACTCAGCAGTTTTCCCTCTCTGACCAGTTCCCCTCTAAAAGGATCCCAGTCCCTGCTGGATGTTTGGAGGGCCAAAAGCTGCAGCAGTGTCCCAGGCAGCTGCTGTGCAATAATGGTGCAACTGCCCTGCAGTAGGATGAGCAGTTAGGAAATTACTTAGGGGGAGGCTTAGGGGAGATGAATTGAGTAATTTTTGTGACATTTTATGGAGTTTAATTTTAGAAAAACTTCATTTCATGCTATTAAGAGTTCTTGTCCAAGACAAATACAAACTGGAGCAAGGTGCAGAGTGGCTGCAGGGGAGTGAGCAGTCCCCTTTCCTACCTGTCAGGTTGACATAGTCGATTCTCTGTTTGATCTTGGACTCCTCCACGATGATGGCTGCGCTCTGGGTCAGCAGCAGCTGCCGTGCTCTGGCCTTGTAGCCCTTCCGGTCGTACTTGACCACAGGAACTGCATACTGAAACAGGAGTTAGCAGGGCTGAAACCACACTGTGCTCAGTTGTCAGCTCCCCTTCCCCCAGCCCAGAGAGCTCTCCGGAGGCACTGACCAGTGCTTGGTAAACTGGGAATGGAGGTGCTAATTCTTTTGAGTCCTATTCTGTCTGTGGCAGAACTTCCCTGCTGCCCTAGAGGAGTTCTGGACACACTATGAGAGCTGCAGGTGTGTCTGCCTGGGGGCTTGGAAACCTCAGGGTCAGGGTCAGTCTGTGCAGCTTTCTCTCTCCAGCTGCAACCCGTTCAGTTCTTACCTGACACAGTTAAATTGCCCAAACCTCCCTTTTCTGAGCCATCAGCTCTTCCCACAGACTATCCTCTGAAGTACTACAGGCTTAACACCATATCAAGTTCTTTTTGTACTTTCTTCAGAAAGCCAATCTGCTCTTCTGCTGAGTGACTCTAGAAACTTGACAAAAGTATTGGGATACATATCTCACCTTAATTGCTTCATTTTCTAAAGCCTGAAGGACTTTAGTATTTATCTCTTCCTTCCCTGTATTAAAACCAAAGAAGTAGAGGTCAGAAAGACACTTTTTGCAAGAAAAGAGTAGCTGAATCCCCTCCCCCTCCTCCTGCTATACTTGGCAACACCTACTCACCCAGTCGAGTGTTGATGAAGAGTCTGGGAACGCTCTGAGGGTAATTGTCTTTTTTGCCCTTGAAAATCTCACTAGCAATTACTTTTTGTTCCAACTGCAAGGACAAAAGATGAATTCTTGTTTAGTATAAAATTTCTCTTTAATAAAAAGATACATTTGTACTAGAAGAGATGTTCCCTTTTAAGTTTCATTAGCATCATCTAGTTTTGAGCTACTGAACCATACCAGCAGTCACAGAATTACACAAAATCTTCCAAACCTCCCTTGCCTTTTTCCTCTTTCTCTTTCATAGTTCTGTATTGTATTTCCTGTGTGAATTTATGGGGACATGGCATCGAGGCTCTGGATTTTGATAATGTGTTAAAAAGTCTCAGAATTTCCCCACTGCAGAGTTTCTCTTAACCTCTTCCTCTGTAAGCTAAACAGTTTGGTCTCCTGCTCTACTAGAAGGACTTTTTTCATGTTCTAGGTTTCTCCTTCCCCTCCCCTGAGGTTAGTCAGAATCTTGACTTGAAGCACTAAGGAAGAAGTCATGACCTTATCAGCACTGTATAACACCTCCTCTGATCTACTCAGTATTCCCCACCTCATCCTGACAAACAGCACAATTCCATTAGGCACCGTATGGCCCTGGGAGTTCCTGTTTGGATGATTAGTCACCATAAACCTTTAGTCCCTGAGAGGTGGCAGAGTTCCAGGCCAGTCACCCCACACAGTGAGTGACCTGTTACTCCTTCTGAGTAAGAACAAAAGCAGTGACTGAGGGAACAGGAAACCCTGTGGTGGTGCTGACACACAGGACAAAGTACCTGAGGTGACTTACAGGTAAAAATGGGGATAAAAGACACTGATGATTAGTGAGTCTGGTTTGCTGGGGGAAAGCTGAGAGTTCTGCTGAGCTGCTGTTAATCCTGTGTCCCTAATCACAGGCTCAGCCTCTCCCTGCAGGTGTTGATACACTGCAGCAGCAGTGGGACACACTGTGCAAGGAAGAACCTTTATGGCAGCTATTACAGTCACCTCCAACTTGTTTAATTTCCTACTCTGTCTCTTCACCGAGCCTGTTTTTACTATGAAATTTCCCTCCCCCTACCTTTCCATGACTAAGATGAATCAAATCTCAGTATCAATTTCATTCTTTTTAGCTGAAACTGTTCATGCCATTTCTCTGTTTGGAAAATGACTGGGTTTGTCTGCAGAATTCTTACTCTCTGCTTTACATGGTACAAGTAGAATAATGAAGCTTCTTATACTTTTCATCTTCCATGGGCAGAATAACAGAGCCTTTCAGTAGAGAAACTGTGTAGGGGCTTGACTGTCCACACTGTACAAATAGTAAGTATTGAGATATGTATAGAATGGGGTTTCTTCTATGCACATTCCAGTCTTTTAGTGTTTTGTCTCTAACCTAGAAACAATCCATGACAATGTTCCTGTGGCACTGGAACCAACAGCCCAGAAAGCAGCGAGTCAGTCCCTCCACTCCCCTCTGCTGTGCAGCACCCTCGTCCCTCCCATCCTGCTGCTCCTCTCCTTCCTTCACTCCTGCACTCAACGATGCTGAGTTCTCTGAATGTCAGAGTGGTTTGTGAAGTAACCGGAAGGTGCCTCATACCTGCTGCTTCCACTCGGGGCTGATTCTCTTGCAGTAGGTCCAGACCATGTTCTGCATGCAGAGCCGGCGCAGGAGCTGCGACGCCTGAGGGAGAACCACACAGCAATGGAAACAGCTCAGAACTACTGCCCAGCCCAAACACTGCAGAGCACAGCAGATGCATTTCTGGTTTAAAATGTTTATGACTGAGAGCTGCTTTCAGAGTTAAGTAATAGGAGGTTTCTTCTCTGCTTTGCTCAGAGTTGTCCCTGTGACATTCTCCAGCTGCTTTAGAATGGGGAATGAACATCAGGGTCCTCCACTCTACACTGCTTTGCCCTTCCTTCCTTCCAGCTGTACCTGTAATCCACTCAAACAAGGAGCTTTGGATAAGCTAACTGGGTATTTGCTGCAATATTTTGTTTAGATCAAACTAATTCAGCCAGACACAGAATAATAATGGCAATGGATGTTCAATATGTTCCTCACAGGCAACTGCAGCCAGAGGGAACCGAACTTGTTCAGAGAAAAACAGAATTTCAGAAATGGCTGATAACCAGCAGAAAATGGTGTTGCAACAGCTTCACACTCTGAGAACCTGCAATGCTGTGGCCTAATGATGTCACTGTAGTTACACCCATTGCTGATGGACAGATTGACTCCTCTAGCAGTGATGAACCTGGTGCAGTGACAGCAGGAGTGTCCCCTGGGGCCTGTGGTGTCCACACTGCCCTTCCCTCCCACAGCCCATGAGCCCTTCCCTGGAACACTCACCTCACAGAGTGAGGGGGGAGGAGTTGGCCACGATTTGTCCAAGACATTTTTTGGCAGGTTGCGCTTGAGGTTCATCAGGAAGGAGAAGCGAATGTAGTCGAGGAAATACTCGTTCTCGGGGCAGCGAGGATGGTTCCGGTAAATGAAACCTTTGATGAACCTGAGGATTAGAAAATTACAAGAGTGATCAAACCCCAGTGATACTTACAGGTCTCTTCCAATCCAACCATTTTCTGGGCTTTATTTAACAGTTGTAATTTATTTTTAAAAACTCTGATGTTATAGTGACAAGTAAGTTCATTTTTAGCATCTTGTTAAGCAGTAAGTGATGTCTTAAGGCTTGAGCTATTCTTTACATACCTTCTGATGGTCTCCACTGCCCACTTCTTCTTGGCAGCTTTTCGGCGTCCCAGGGTTCCTCTCCACCAGGACTGGATGGCTATAGCTAAAAAACACCACAGATTTTACACCAAGTGAGTTCCTTCATACCAATCCTGACTCCAGGCAAACTGGCACCAAGGAGTGCTCAGGAAAGCCCGTGCTGGAAACACACAGCTTCAGAGTGGCACAGGGAAAGACTCTAATTTTAGCTTTGAACAATATGATAGAAAGGATAAACTGCAATAAAAAGTCCTGGAGGCTACCAGGGGAACATCTCTGTGTCTCTCTTACCTGAGTGTTTCATGTGCAGGAATTTCTTCCTGCGGTAGAAGCCTCTCCACGTGGCCTGCATTTTCGTTGCTGGAATGGCAAGACAAACAGCAGTTTGCAATTGTGGCCAAGCATATCTTGGGAGAAAAAGGCTCAACTTTTAAAACAGAAATCCCTCCTGAACAAATAGCAAAGATAATGAGGAACCACACAGCCAACTGTCCATGAAGCTGCTGCAGTGTGTGTCTCACCCAGGCTCTGCTTCCTCACTTCCAGAGCATCTTCCGTTGCAAACAAAGTCTTGGGAAAGCGGATAAAAATCTTTGTCCTGGAAATAGAAACACAGAATTACATTGAACATGCTGGAGACATTTGCTTCCTGCCCTTGGCATCTCCTTTGGGCTCTCTAATCTTTTCCTCCCCCACCAGATACAGAAGCCTTATCTGAAAGCAGTAACATGGACATCCAATGATTCATAACCTCAAACGAAGAACCCAGAGGAACTAACCGTCCCATTTTGTATTCTTCTGGTTTGTAGCCAAGATGCTTCACCAGCACAGCCACCCCATCGTGGGGCCGTCCATCCCACGTGGGCCACGTTTCTGGGCACAGTGACTTGTACCTGTGAATCAGCAGCAGAGGGAATCTTAGGGAGGGAAGGTCAGTTCCAGAAGGGAGAGAGGCTGTGCCTCTCCTCCCCTCCAGGAAATAGGTGTGTGAGGTGTGGGGCTGCCTCTGTGCTGCTCAAAACAGCTCCCCAGCCTCAATAGCAGTGGGATAAAGACAGGGAGAGGGAGGGCAGAGAGGTAAGTCCAAGGTCATTTTACCTTTGCAGGAAAACTTCGTATTTCCTTCGATAGGCAAACCCAGCCCTGCGCACCCTGAGGTTCTCCATCAGCCCCAGGTACTTCACTTGGTGTCGGATCAGGACTTCATCGAATCGATCTTGAGAGCATGAAAAGAGACACATTTTCAGTGTGTGGCTGTCCCTGCCCCTGGAGGAGGGGAATGCTCAGCTCATGTTCTACCTTACACTGTTATCTTTAACCTCTAAGCAACCCTTGCAGTGCAAGTCCCACATTACTCTGTCTCTCCTGCCTTCCTCCCAACCCTTTTTAGTCATTTATATTTGTTTCCAAACCCAGGTTTTCCTTTAGGATGTTCTATGCATACAGGAGAAAGAAATGAAGGGGAATAAAAGTCATTAAAAGGAATTTATGTAGGTTAATGATGCTTTACTTTAAACATGACCCTCCTCCACCCAAGACCAGTGCTCCCATTCCAATTCCTGGCTGCTGGTGCTGCCACCACCTCCCTGCACAGACCCAAAGTGAGCAAATCTTGCAGGACTCAATTCGTGCTCCTTTCTGTCCTCACTGACTGGATCCAGCACTCTCTATCTACTGTTACAGAAACAAAGAGTCCCCCAGGGCCATACCAGCCTGTTTGGCATCATTAGGCTTCATGCAGCGAATGTAGGAAGGTTCTTTGGACATCAGAATTTCCATGAGTTTGGAGAGGCTGTTTTTAAACTGAGTTGCTGCCTAGGGGAAAAGAAAAAACTACATATGAAGTGATGACTTCAAGCTGGTGTGTGCAGCACTTGGTCTCCCACATTTAAAAATGAGGGGCCTGAGTTCACATCACCATGTTGGACAAGACATGTCTTTAAAGAAAGAGGAAACAGCCACAGTTCCCTCCAGCTCTTGTGCTCTTACCGTTTCAGGTCTCTTTTTGTCTGTCAGCTCTGTCCTGTCAAAGCACTGGTTTATGATGGGATTCTCAGAGTTGCACATGGTCTGCAGAGAGACATTTTCAGAGATAAGTACAGAGTATTCTTCAAAGAAGTAGCAAATCAACACGGGACAAACCTGTTTGTTTGGGATTTTTGTTTAGTTTGCTTTTTAATAAAATTGACATTGGGCACCTCCACAGCCCCACGGACACACAGTCCCAGGTAGAGTCTGGAAGAATCCTCTCCCTCAGGTACCAGCCCATTCTAACCCCACTCCTCCTGCAGGGTATTAGCAGCGTCCTCTACCCACACTCACCTCCTTCAGGTTCCGGAAGAGAAGGTCATTGTTTTTATCTAGAAAACCTGGAAGAAAAAGAAACCACTCAGGCTGCTACTGCTGTCCCAGGAGAACTGCACACCGAGGCAGGAACTTGGGAGTTGAAACTAGTCTGGTTAACCACACGATGTGTGGACATATTCTATGCCCTGATTTTTCTTTCCCATATAGTGAAGCTGTCCTAACTCAAAGGGCAGAGGATGGAGGAGAGTGAGAGGCAGCAGAGCTGCTGTACACTCACCTGCGACGCTGTAGGTGACATCTCCAGCGTAGTGTGAGAGCCTGAACTCCTCTCGCCCCAGCGACTTGCGAGTCTTCTGGTCAGCCAGTTTGTGCCTGGGGAGAGAGACACCAACCTCTGGTTCACTGGGGAATTCACTTCAAAAAATAACATGGCATTCAATCCCTGAGTGCGACTATGTGAACACAGAACTGGGGCAGGGAATGGAGATCTGACTTGGTGATTTTCAAGCCCACAAGTAAGTGAAGGTGTCATCGAAGCTCTGTCACACACCTGGGACTGAGCAGTGTGACTGGCCTAGCTGTGGGCACACTCACGTGAGGAAATGAGGGTGGTTCTTCACAGTTTCCTCCAGCTTCTCCAAGAATGTTGTATCTGTGGCATCCCCAGGCCTCAGGCACTCTTCATCCTACAAACACACACACTCCAGTACTGAGTTCTGACTGGGCAGTCCTGACTCTGCCCCACTGAAACACTGCCCCAGTTCAGCCCTTTGGCCTTTCCACAGGCAGCCAAGCTCTGAGCTCAACACCTCACACCTGGCCCAATGTCAGCTCAAACGTTGTTAGCTGAACAGGAAGACACTTCCCTCTCTCCAGACTGCCTGGATTCCCCAGAGCTTTCCCCAGAGCTGAGACACCTGGCCCAATGTCAGCTCAAACGTTGTTAGCTGAACAGGAAGACACTTCCCTCTCTCCAGACTGCCTGGATTGGGAGTTGCTTTCCCCAGAGCTGAAGGAGGTGACACAATGACTTTTAAATGCTGTCACTACTCAGAGTTTTGTTGCTCTTCCCACCTGCTCAACACTCTAACATAAACTGTTTGTTTTATAATGTGTTCTCCCCCTTGTTTTCCACTACATTGCTCCAAATTTTGAATTCAAAAAGATGTCTTCAACTCACCAAGATGGAAATGATGCCTTTGAATTTCTCCTCCACCAAATCACAAATGATTTTGTTATTGAAATACTGAACTGGTTCCCACTGCAAAGACAAAAAATTACACTTGGGTGAAAACAATCCTGGACTGGAAAAAACACATGAAAATTTCAGAATGTTTCAGACAGCACCTGAGTTAAATAATCTTTCTGTCAGATTTGAAACATTCATCCAATTTGTTTTCCTAACATTCCCTTTGAAGAGCATTTTTAAATCAGAGGAAAGGACTGGGATGGCAACACTCACTTCTAGCTGCATCACACAGAGTTACCAAAGTGTTTCAAACAGAAAGGAACAAGCAAAGTTCTTTAATTTCTTTAGTTTGTAGACTATTACTAGCAGCTCCTTTTCCAGCCTGTGCTCTGGGCTGGGAGTGCTGGGAAGGAGAGAGGAGATGACATTGGCTCTTACCGCGATGCCTTCTGACTCGTATTCCTCTTGCTCTGACTTTAGTGTGAGCTCGATGAAGAGCTGCTGCAATTTTTCATTACAATAATTAATACAAAACTGCTCAAAGCTGCAAACAAAAATCAGAAAAATAATCACTAAGGCTGCACCACAAGTCAAAGAAGTTATAAACAGTGGGAGGAGTATGAATATCTCTCTGTGAATCAAGAGAAATAGAAGAGGTTTTGCGAAATGTTTATTTGTTGGCTGTATGAATTTAGGAAGTTTATTATTTAGTGAATCTCATGGAAGAGTGCCAGAAGAAGGGAACAGCTGACATGGAGGAACTGAAGAACTCTGTAAGAGTGCCCATTTGAGCACCTCAGTTCATGGCTACCTGCCAGTGAGGGTCCAAACTGAGTTAGTCTCACACCTTGTTTAGTCACAACTGTGGAAAGATGCCCCAACAGCCACCCCAGGGCCAGAGAGCTGGACAAAGAGCTCAAGCTATGGCATCAGTACATCCCAAAAAAGCAACAGTCTCTTTAAAACACCAGGATCTTTAATAGCTATAAATGTTAATTATTAGCTGGATGCTCCAAGTGTTAGAAATCCTGGGATTATCTCTTATTCAACTGGGATTGACTTATCATTTATTCAATCCTGGAATTATCACTTATTCAACTGGGATTGAATATCACTTATTCAATCCTGGGATTATCACTTATTCAACTGATTTCCTGAAGTTTAAACATCACCTCTTTCTCTTACTAAGAGAACCAAATGTCTTATTTCACAACAGAGACAAAACACTGTAATGAATAAAGTCATGCAGAGTTTACTTGAACTCAAAAGACCTCAACTGAAACAAACCTGTTGTGCTGGAAAACCTCAAATCCATAGATGTCAAGCAATCCTAGAACCGTTGTACTTCTCCAGCCTGGAAACTTTTCTTCCTGCAATAAGGCAAAATTAAATGTGGACATGTACTCACAGCTGCAACCCACGACTGGATCTCACCCATTCAGATACAGCATTTAAGCCATAAATTTAGAACAAGCTACTTGAGAAATCACTTTACAGCACAGAACTTGCCATTTCTCAGCTTTGCAGCCAGAAGATTTGAAAATCCCTTTGACACTTGGCTGGGTATCAGTGACAAAAGGTTCACTTGCCTTGTAAGCCAGAGACTTGTTCACCTTGTTGACCAGCCAGGAGAAGGTGCGGCCGTAGATGGCCTTGGCGAGCGCGTCCCTGGCGTAGGCTGCCTGCTCCAGGTTCAGGGGACTGACCAGCTGCAGGCAGGAGGAGACAAAAGCCATTCCAGTGAGGGATTGAGTTTCCCTGGTTCACCATTAATAAACAGCCACTTAACAGCATCCTGTCCGGGCTCAGCTCCTGTCCCTGCCTCCCAGCCACAGCCACCCGAGAGTTGTGGGACTCCTGCGCTGACAACCTCCTCTGGCAAGGGAGGAGGGAATTGTTTGGCTCTGGTATGGAGCTGGTGGTGTGTTCATTGAACTCCATGTGCCTCCCAGGTCCCATGTTCTTACCTCTTCTCCTTTTGCTATGATCTTCTTGTGTGTCAGTGCATCCCTCAGGACTGAGCCCTCCACTGCCAGGAGCTGCAAAGCAGTGGGACAGGAAATTAATTTACACAGCAGGACATTCAATTTCTTAGTAACAGTGTAAGATGTGAGAAAGGCTGATTCCCAAAGTCCCAGTGCAGTGAAACAACCCTGCACTTCCCACTCACACCCTCTCCCTCCTGGCAGTGATGTGACCTAACAAATGAGTTGTGTTGATGGTTCTGCCACAAAGAACTGACTAAGCAAAGCCACAGAGTGGTTTTTTCTTTAAAACTCTTCTCCAGGGTCGATTCCTCTCTCACTGCCTGAAGGTGAAAGCCCCAGATCAGTGGTGGATCAGGTGGTCAATAGAGGTTGTCAAGTGAAGAGTTTTCATGTTAATATTTGGCTTTTGTTTAGGTCAAATCAAAGTAAAATTTATGAGAACTTCTAAATCTTATTTTAGAACAAGGAAACCTCTACAATTAACCCTTCCTGGTGATACTCACCCTAGCCAGGTATTTAATCTGATTCTCTGTAGTGACCTGAGCATTTCCTTGCTCATCAGCAGCAAACTGCACATTGCCCAGGTGCAGAACACTGCCCACAATGCTCATCAAATCCTGGGAAGGAAGCAAGAGGCAGAAAAATCAGGGGGATGAAATGAACACACAGTGAGGGGTTTGGGCTAATTAACATTTTACAAGAACATTTTGCATCTTTTTCAGGATTTCTGCAGAGAATACATTCACTCTGAATTGATTCGCTCGGATTTGATTTCAATCAGAAATCATAAATCAAAGCAGAGAAATCCTACAGAGAAGGAAAATCAGCTGTGTCTCACCTCCACCTCAGTGTCATTGAAGCCTATAATGGACAGGGCTCTGCGCATGATCTTCCACTCATTTTTGTCATTGATGGAGCTGACCCTGGCACAGTGACCCTAGAAAGACACAGTTGGATATAAAGGGGTAAATAACTGGCATAGATACATTATCCATGCTCAGTGCACTTCTGCTGTGTGTTTCTTTTTACAGCAATCAGCTCAGAGTTATTTCTGAAGGGAGAGAAGGAAACCACAAAGTCAGCTGAGAATATCCTGGTCCTGTAATAGAGCAATACTGTAGGAGTTGTAGGCAATGCTCACCTTTACCAAGTAGTGATACTGCTGTGGGTTCTTCTCCAGGCCCAGCCTCCTCAGCAAGTCCTCCTCCCCTCCCTCTAGCAGCTGGTAGAAAATGTGGAAGTTCCTCTCGCCGTGATTCTGATGCACAACTCGGGATTTCTCCAGGAGGTAGTTCAAGATGTGGCCCCCGACAGGAGCCCCCTAAATCAGATCAGATACATTCAAATAGCTCATGAGAATTTACTGAGGGTGGATTTGATCCCCTCACCCACAGGTTGCTCACACCATCATCACAACCAGTACAAGAACACACAGGCAACAGAGAGCTGCTCTGACTGGGGCAGGTTCTAAGGTATAAAACACATTTCAAGTTACCCTGTAATCAAACTGCACATCCATGTATTTGCCAAACCGACTGGAGTTGTCATTCCGAAGGGTTTTTGCATTTCCAAAGGCCTGAAATGAAAACAATTAGAGAAAACTAAATAAGTACCAAAGGACGATTATTTATAAACACTCTGGTGACATTACCAGTTGTTTATTTACAGCCTAGGATTTTCCTTTCTGCAATGGAAACCAAGAAGGAAACTGAGTGCTCCCTGAATCCTCACGCTGATTTTTACACCCAGTGCAAGCACTGCAGATGGCACAGCCTCTGAAAACACTTCTATTCCCCAACAAGCTTATGTTAATGCCAGTCCACTGCTGCCAACATATGTCATGTCTGACAGTCTGTCCAAAGCTTCCCCTCTCAGCGCAGCGATGTGCCCAGAGCCGCAGCTCGCTGACAGCAGCACTGTCCCCGCGGGCAGGGCTGTCCCCGCTCCCGGGAGCGCAGCTTTCCCTGGACACCAGTCCGGGAGGGAGCTGGCACTGCACAGACAGCCGGGCCGGACACTAGAGGACACCACAGCACCAGAAACCGCTGCCGTGTGCCCCTGCCTGGCGCTGCCGACTCGTGCGGGGAACCAGAGCTCTTCCCACGCCAAACTCCCCTCTCTGCCCGCACCCGGCCCCGCCAGAACAGCTCCTGGAGGGCTGGACAGGGCCAAGCGAGCTCAGAGAGAGGCAGCTCAGCAGAGAGAGGCAGCTCAGAGAGAGAGGCAGCTCAGAGAGAGAGGCAGCTCAGAGAGAGAGGCAGCTCAGAGAGAGAGGCAGCTCAGCAGAGAGAGGCAGGC